CTCGGGCGCTTTCATCTAAGTAATTCAATATTTTCCGTTAAATTACGTTTGTTATTATGAAAGTGGGGGCTTTAGTGGGTGGATGGGTGGTTGGGTGGTGGGTGGCTGAAAGAAGGGTTCCCCAGTTTTGTGAGAGTAATGGCAGGGAAATTGTTTCAGCGCAAAATTGATTACATTTCGTCCCGTGTGGCATGTGTTCGTTCCGCCCAAGGTTTAAGGCCCATAAGCCTATTGTTGTAAACAGGACGACAACGCACCCCCCTCCTACGCACAATCTTGAATTTGGGTGGTGAGTTGCTGTCCACCTAATGCGTCGCCCTAATTTCATAAAGTATTTATAGAATTTTCTATGCCTCTGGCAATAATAAAATGCGCGCATTGCCCAGAAATGTCGTGATAAAAGATATATTCATAAATCTATACATTGTCACAGTGATTGGGAAAAGGACGTGTAGTGTCTGGGAAAACGAAAGACGTATGTGATGTTTGGCCTTATCTTTCCATGGTCCCAAAAAAGCTTTTGAAATTTTAATGCGTTTTCCTCGTTTTCCATTTTTACCTTTCCACTGTTGGCATATTTAATGATGTCTGCGCCATTCTAGTGCGGCACTAATTATTCAATTGGGGTAAATATTGCCCCGATGCTGGGAACTTCTGTTTGCTTTTAATTAGGCTCCAGCTCCAACTCGAATCGAAAGTCGGGAGGCTAAGAGCTTAAGTCCTTAAAGCCCGGGAAGGCCAGACCCCCTATCAAACTGTAATAAAACGAACCGAGAGGCACATACACAAATATATATACGCTCGTGTAACGTGTATCGTGTATCGGTCAACTTTCGTCACATTGTTAATAAAAATGTGAGCCTGTCATAAAATTTGCACCAGGAGGGTCACACGCATGATGTACCTCCGCACACTGCGAACTTTGATGCTTCAGATTTTACGAGTTGTGTACACAACTGTGGACACGACGTGACGAATGGGGGCAGGGATTCCCTGCATCACCAAATTGCCAACGTGTTTAGATACAAATCCGAGTCCAAGCTGAGGTTTTATGGCCAACTCAGAGTTAACTAAGCGAGGCCATTTGATTTGATTAACTGGGGTGATGGGCGGCCAACTAAGCGCGACTGAGATGCCTTTGGCCATAATTTCCACACATTTTCACTTAACCTCTCCATCGTATCTCGTTCATTTGCAGAGGGCAAGGCCATGGCGACCGCCTACGATTGTAAATTCATCGAGACCTCGGTGGGCATCAATCACAACGTGGACGAGCTGCTGGTGGGTCTGTTGTCACAGATACGCCTCAAGCTGGAGAATCCCGAAAAGTCCAGGTGGGTGAAGAGCAGCTCTTAAACTTAACTGAACCTACTTAGCAACTAATGCGTTTATTCTCGCAGGGATCTGTTCCGGAAGCGTTCGATTAGGAAGTCAAAGCGACGCGCTTGCTCGCCGCTGAATGCAGGCTGCCTGAATGCCAACACCCCGCTGGGTCCGCTGGGGGAGGCGGTGGCCACGCCCCCAGGCAGTGCCCAAAGCAGGTGAGTCACGGCCCCTGACAGGTTACCAAAATCAGCCCGTAATGCTCATTCGCCCCGTTCTCTTTTGCAGTCCCCGCAAATATCGTGGCTCAAGAACCTCCACCAGCCTGAAAGTCAAGGGTCTTCTAGGACGCGTGTGGACGCGGGACTCCAAGTCCAAGAGCTGCGAGAATCTGCATGTACTCTAAGCTAAAAGTATAATCCAAAGTATACCCCAAACGTTTCCTATAGACTATGCTATATCCTAAGCATAACTATTGCCTAAGTTACAAAACAGACTCGACAACTAACGGGGGTATTATTCCCAACTGTACATATTGTGTATAATTTTAGCTTTAATTTACGCTAGTCATTTCCCCCATTAATCATTGTATATAGTTTGTCTAAATATAAAAGAATATTATTTGTAATTGGTTTATTATGGTTTTCGTTTACTTGTAAGCATGAGTTGGGATAATTTTCAATGCTCGAATCTGTCCGGTAATGGATTAAATTAGTTACATTTTCGATTGAAAGAAGTAAAAATACAAAGGACACAAAATTAAAAAGCAATAATTTTTGGAAAAACAAATAACATTTTACCCTTGTTCATAGGCGAAGAGTTAATGATACCAATTGTACTGATTTTTTGACAATTTGGCGCTTGTCCGCCGAGTAAAACTTATTGTTAATTATATACGTGTAGTTATACATTTGTAATGGTATTGAATTGCATTTTAAAATTATATGAATATTCACACGAATGTTATTGGATTAAATGTTCAGAATTTGATTGATCGAAAGAGAACCAGAAACATATATTAGCCACATTGTGCAATTTTGCTTAAATAGTCCTAGGAATTTTGTCATAATTGTTAACCTTAACCATTTTTTTGAAGGAGCCCATCGTGCACTCACTACCGGCACGCCCTAGGTTTCTCATGTTAGTCGGGACCATTTCAAAATTAATCAAAGATAGCAGAAATACGCAAAAAACACTAGATTTACACAGAGGCTATGGTTAGGTTCACGTCGGCGTAGTTTTACATTAATTCAATATGTGATTTTACACATGGTCCACAAAATCGAGAGCAAAAGCAAAACCATTTTGTTATTGTGTGTGCTGCGACCTGCTCTATCAAATATTGCGGTCGGATGGGGAGTTTTGATATTTTTAACTATGAATGTCAACACTAGTAGCTTAGTGCCACCACACACCCATTCCATTCGCCTTCGGGCAGTACTAATCTAGATGTCCACTAAATGTATTATAGATGTCCATTAAGTATTATAATCACCAACAATTGCAGCACAATGGAATTAAACGGAGTGGTGTTCTGAAAAATATCAAAGCATGGAAGTATTTGGAACATTGGAGGAACTTTAAAAAATACGTGCATCCTTACATATTTGTAGTATAACCAATCTATACCACATAGTTAAAATATAGCTGTAACTGCATTTTTGTCCAGAATTCTGTGTACTAATCTCGCTCAACATCAACAAATGAATTCGAGCCGAAAACTATATAGGACAGTGATAGAACACACTCGATTTGCACAGATTGTACAACACTTTATATAAGGAGAAGCAAAAGTCAGCCATAAATGTAAGCAGTGGCATCTAAAGAAAAGTTATTATTTGAATGCATGTTTCGATTTTCTAGCTCCGATATTATATGTCTAATGAGTGTATATTAAATGTGAAAAGTTCAATTTATCCGTTTGATAAACCGTGTTTTATTTAAAGGGTTGTAACCAAGTCTGGAATTTATTTTTCTTCAATTTTATTTAATTTCAGAAAAATGTTTCATGCAAATACCACATGAACAGGAATTGGTGTTTTACTAAGTTTTATTTTGGCAAAAGTAATATTAAATTAAAACTATGGTCTTTAAATTAGCTAAATGGCTGACTTGAATTTTCGTTTAGTAACAAACTCGTTAACAGTTTATAGAAATTGTTAGCTAACAAATCGATGTTTCTTCTCTACTAATGGATATGTTGTTGTGGGCACTTCCTATCGAATCACTACTAGCATTCGGTTGGGGGTCTAAATAAGCATATGAAAATATGTGATGCTTGTTAAGGTAATATGTTGATACAAGTAAACTAAGCTTAACTTATAGGCTTATATTATATAAATAAATAAATTTAATTTATATTTGAAATGCGCGCCATGTCACTTATTTTTTCAAGACTACAGAACGGTCACACTTTAACGGTTAGTTATTCCCGTTAGCTAGTACCTTCACAGGTATCGGATAGTTATTTTACATGTAGCGGATACACACCCTCCGAAGCTAGCAGGTACACCTTCCTCATTTAGCGTGTTCAGCCACCATTTCTTTTATCTAAAAAACTGTTATATATACATTTATATTGTTATTATTTTTAAAATATTACGATAATTCAAAAAAAGGAAAAATGTTGCAAATAACTTTATTTTTACGTTAATTCAAAGGTGCCAATTGTTTGTAATAATTCTTCCGATTTATATGCATTTTAAAATGTATATCTGCAATCGTGGACAATCACTATATCTAGAGTTCTATAAGTATGTATATGTTAAAAAGCGATGTAAAGCTGATTTGCAAACACATTTTTCGTTTCAAAAACGAAATTGTGAGCTCAAGAATCAAACTGATAAATTGTAAAACAAAAAAAAAACAATAATATAAAATAAAATACTCCTCGGTAAAATGAAGAAAGTCGTAAATTTACACAAAATTATTTATTCATATTGGTTTACCCATGTGTGTTCTTAGAATAAACATTCCTAATAATGATGAGCCGGATTTATAAAATGGACATATACTCAGAAAACCTTTACAACCCAATTAAATTCGCATAAATATTGTAATTATTATAAGATATTAGTAAATCGTACATGACAAAGACACGCGAAAATAAAACTCTCACTCGCCCTTATGGTTGGCAATAAGTTGATTATAAACCAAGACAATGATAAAACGGACCAATAAGTTGTATACTTGCAATTTTACCGAAATTACAAAACATTCCTGAGCTAAAAGCTATAGGTGAAACATCCAAAAGATTTTAGACCTTGATCTTGTAATTAATTAAAGCTAAGGAATGTGTTTAAATATTAATTACAAGGTAAAAAATGATATTTGTATATTTTGCTAATTTTTGATTTCTAAACTTTCAGATTCCCTTTGAAGTTTTTTGAAAGTTCCGCGTCTTGCGGCTGTTAAAAAACATTATCGATAATTGCCTATATATTCGTCGCATTCCAATATACTAAAAAAAACCTTCGTTACATTCCTATATGGTACGGTATATTTTTTTGACTTTTGCGCGGTCACACTGAGCTCTTGTGCCGAAAATCCAGATATTTTGAGAATAATTGGCCAATTTCGATCCGCCCCCACGCTGAAGTAATGGTAAGTGCGTCCAGGAGCTCCCAGTAGTCACCAGAAGCCGGGATTCGCGAGTCGAGAGTGCGAATTGGCAGAAATCCGAGTGCCCCAAGCAATCCGCTGACTGCGCCCCTGTCGACGTCAAAAGAGGCTGCCCGTGGTGAGAAGCAACGCCCCCGGTCGAAAGCCCACGTCCACGTCCATGTATCCCTGGAGCTCGTCCTCGTACGGCGGCCAAGTGCCCAGTGCCGTCAACGCCCGGGTAAATACTCCAAAAGTCCAGATTGCGAATCTCGGATGTGTGTAATCTCTATCCCTCTTATCTTCAACTCGGGTGCTCCTCGGGCTCTGCTTCCGGACTAGATCCGCAATGACCGAGCAGGCTTATCTTAATCTGTGTGTCATATGTGTGCTCCAAATCGATCCATGTTCCACCCAGCCAGTAATATCGTCTGCCATATCTCCTTTCAGACCATGCCGAATGGTTTGGATGACCAGGAGAAGCTGCTCGCCGAGGCCATTGGAGCGGCGAGGAAGCAGGCCTTCCAGATGAACCACTTCCTGGACAAGGAGCGCATGCTGGACTCACTCAAGTGCGCCAGCACCATGCTGAGTGAACTGAGGACCTCCCTGCTGTCCCCCAAGAGTTACTACGAGTTGTGTAAGCTATCCTAGGACTTTAACATGTAATTCCCAGATCTTATGCCATTGCTCCACCACCAGATATGGCCGTCACCAACGAGCTGTGCCACTTGGAGCTGTACCTCAGCGAGAAGAGCGACAAGAAGACGGATCTGTACGAACTGGTCCAGTACTCGCACACCATTGTGCCTCGCCTGTATCTGCTGATCACCGTGGGCATTGTGTACATAAAGAACGACTCAACGCTGAAGCGCAGTATTCTCAAGGATCTGGTGGAGATGTGCCGCGGTGTCCAGCATCCTCTGAGGGGCCTCTTCCTGCGCAACTACCTGCTGCAGTGTACCCGCAACATCCTGCCCGACGTGATGGTGGCGGAGAACGAGCACGAGGGCAATGTCTACGACGCCATCGACTTTGTGCTGACCAACTTCGCGGAGATGAACAAGCTGTGGGTGCGAATGCAGCACCAGGGACATTCTAGTGAGAAGACGCGACGCGAGAAGGAGCGTGAAGAGCTCAAGATCCTTGTGGGCACTAATCTGGTGCGACTGTCGCAGCTGGAGTCGGCCACTCTCGAGACCTACCAGCGACTCATTCTGCCGGGCATTCTAGAACAGGTTGTCAGCTGCCGGGATGCCATTGCCCAGGAATACCTTATGGAGTGCATCATCCAGGTGTTCCCCGACGAGTTCCACCTGCAGACTCTCGATCCCTTCCTAAAGTCCTGCGCCCAGCTGGAGACCGGTGTTAACGTGAAGAACATTATAATATCTCTGATCGAGAGACTGGCTGCCTATAACCAGCGAAGTGGCAAGGTAATCCTCTTAATAACGTGTGTAAATGTACACAATACTTCACAACACTTCTCATTTAGACCAGCGGCAACGCCATCGATGCCATCATACCCGCCGAGGTGGAGCTGTTTGAGGTATTCAGTGTCCAAGTGGCGAATATTGTCCAAACCCGAATGGACATGCCCTTGGAAGACACTATTTCGCTGCAAGTTGCTCTGTTGAGCCTGGCTCAGAAAGTGTATGCCGATCGCGTTGACTATGTGGACAAAGTGCTGGGTACAACCGCACAAATTCTGCAGCGCATGAACATGAACAAGTGGGTTGAACTCTAGACGGGATAGATTTGGTTGTTACATACTCTTTCTTTTCAGCATCTCCCATCTGCTGTCTGTTAACCAGGAGCTATCCCGTCTACTGCGCATCTGCATTGACTTTTACAACAACGCCTTGACCATCATCCAACTGCACAACTTCTGCCCGCTGCTCGAAAAGTTTGATTACACATCCCGCAAATCGCTGGCCCTGTATCTGGTTATGAATATACTTGACAACGAAACTGTGGTGCCCATGGCTGATCAAGCAGATAGTCTGCTGACCATCATCACGCCTCTAATTAAGGATGATGACACGAACAAAGACAACGCAGCGGCAGCAGGGAACACCAGTTTCGATGCCGAGGAGTTTGCAGAAGAACAAGGAGTGGTGGCACGGTAAGGGTGATTTCTTCTTAAAAATACCTCTATGACTCATTCCCTTTGTTTAGATTTATTCACCTGATGCGGTCCGACGAACCCGACATGCAGTACAAAATGCTGCAGACCGCCCGCAAACATCTGGGCAATGGTGGGGGCCAGCGCCTAAAGCACGTCCTGCCGCCACTCGTCTTTGCAGCCTACCAGCTGGCATTCAAATACAAAGCGATCGCCGAGCAGGATGAGAACTGGGACAAGAAGTGCCAGAAAATAGTGCAGTACTGCCACAGCACCATCAGTGCTCTGGCCAAGGCCGATCTCGCCGACCTCGCGTTGCGTCTTTATCTGCAGGGTGCCCTGGTCATCGGAGAGATTGGCTACACGAACCACGAGACGGTGGCGTACGAGTTCATGACCCAGGCCTTCTCGCTCTACGAGGATGAGATTTCCGACTCAAAAGCCCAGCTGGCAGCCATTACGCTTATTATGTCCACATTCGAACAGATGTCCTGTTTTGGCGAGGAAAACGCCGAGCCACTCAGGACGAATTGTGCGCTGGCCGCGTCTAAGCTACTGAAAAAGCCAGATCAATGTCGCGGAGTTGTGGCCTGTGCGGCGCTTTTCTGGAGTGGGAAGTAAGTTTGATAGGTTCTTAATTCCTAGTTGAATCGTTGTTTGATTATTTCAATATCTGCTAGACAAAACGGGGAGGAGATGCGGGATGAAAAGCGAACTCTGGACTGCCTGAAGAAGGGCGCTCGCATTGCCTCGCAGTGCTTGGATACCGGCGTGCAGGTGCAACTGTATGTGGAGCTGCTGAATCACTATCTCTTCTACTTCGAGCGCGGCAATTCGCTTATCACCGTGGCCATGCTTAACCAGGTGAATATGGCTTACTAAACAAAAAAATAACCCTTTGAACTTATTTGAATTTCAATATTACAGCTAATTGCCAAGGTGAACGAAGAGCTGCCCAACCTGGAGCCCAGTGAGGAAACCAAACAGATCGAGAGCCACTACAAGAACACGCTGGCGCACATACGTAGTCGCATGGAGTCCAATGACTCGGCGTTGGAGGTCTCCTTTGCGGGCATCACTCTCAATTAGCCCAGCCCACCCACTTCGGACACCCCAACAAGCATCGAAGAGCTGAAGGCGTGAAGGTCGTTCGGCCAGGCCCGTTTTTATACTGCTAGTTATCGGCTTGCTCGTAGACCGTTCTGATATCCCGAAGCTCTGCGAGAGTATCCAAATTGCTTGTGTGAGATATGAAATTCCATGGTTAGGAAAGTTGTGGGCCTTCGACCAACTTTTGTTTTGTCAATTTGATTTCGATGGTAATCGTAAGTGCAAAGTAAAAACATTCTTGATTATTTTCCTGATTTATTTAGTATGATAGCTATGCGTAAATAACCCCCAGCAGAGGATTTTTACTTTACTACTCTATTTAATCCCCTACCCTACCCTAAAAATAATGTGAAAATATTGTTAAACAAAAATTATACAATCTTACATATGATTATCGAATTGGTTCACGAATCGCCACGCGCTACGTATAAATATGTATTACAAATAAAGTTAAGATCAAACTGTTTTCGCGAACAATTCGCCTGTATGTGTGGCCTGAACTAAGTGAATCAAAACTCGTCATCGATAACATGTAAAGTAATTCGTTTATTAAAAATATATAAGCCGACTACGCTTCATCGGACTATTAATCAGTTAACATAGCTTCCATTTACGATACACAATTATATCCTACAGACTCTCGCCGATCCGATATTCGTCCTTTCATCAATCACATGCGCTACAAGGGTGTTAGATGTTCGATTCTTCTGGTTGTTGTGGCAGTTTTCGGGGGATGGAGCGGTGGTTAAGTGGCAGTTTCGTGTTGCTTCGAGACCAGTTAGTGGGGGAGGGAAGTGGTTAGGGACAGGCCTGGTACCGCGGGCAGTTAACTTGGTGCGTTCGCGCAACTTAAAGCTAATTTTTTTTAGTCACTAGGTTCTAAGCATAATCATTACAGATAGAAGCGCCTAATTCACTTTGAGTGCCATATAGCAAATGGAAAATTTTGAAGCATGAGATAAATTTGTTTTCGTTTCTGCATAGCTCGAGATTGCTCGGTGCGAGGCGTAGGCCCTCTGAGTCCCATTAAGCCGACTTCACGTTGTAATAGTTGTAGACGAAGGGCCAGGAGGCCAGCACGTACTCCTCGATGCCGCACTCGTTGGAGCCGCGCAGGATGCGGAAGTAGCCGTGCTCGCCCCACCAAGTTCCCCACGAGTTTGCTGCGATCTGTTTGGGAATGGCAGTTGGTCAATACGTTCCTAATAGTAAGTCCTCAAAAACCTTGCAACACTCACCCAGAACTTCTCATTGTGCTCCTCTCCCCAGCCAACCAACTTGACCGAGTGGAATCCAGTGGGAGCTCCGCGATTGGCCGCCGTCCGGCGGTAGATGCCTCCCGAGTAGGCGAAGAAGTCGCGGTACACCGTCATTGTGGCCTGGACGGGGCCGGATTGGAAGATCTCCGCCATGATGTCGGACTCGCGACTCAGGCTGTAGGCCGGACCCACCGTGTAGAAGGCATCCCGATCCACGTTTTCCACAGGACGGCAGCCATTGGCCTTCAGAGAGCGACTGTGCTGGTGGATCTTGCAGGCGTCGCGGTGCTGGGTGTACGGATAGCAGCTCTCGTCCACCACGCCCTTCTTGTGCATGTAGCGCCAGGCGGCGTCCAGGTGACCGCCCTCGCAGCCCTGCTGGCGGCGCGTGCAGGAGAGGATGTGCTGGGCGGACAGATGGACGGCCTCCTTGCCCTTGCTCTGGATGGCGAACCGATCGCTGGCCACCGAGGTGGTGGACAGCACCCAGGACGCACCGCACCAGCCCTGGTCGGGCACCTGAGAGATGTAGCTGGACCACTTGTCCACGGCGCTGAAGGTCCGGGGCAGGCCCTCGGCGGTATTCCTCAGTCGGGACATCGACTTCACCCGGAACGAGGGCTCCTTGGTGCCCAGACGCAGTCGCAGTCCCTCGGAGTACTTGCGGCCCCACCACTGATCGTACTTGCGGGCGGACCAACCGATATTGTGGATGGAGTTCACGCCATCGATGAGATCGTGGTCGGTGAGGCACAGTTCCGTGTCGCACTGCACCTTCCCGCCGTCCAGGCAGCGGCACTCGTTGCAGTTGTCAAACGTGCTGTTGTACTTGGTGAAGTAGGTGTCGTGGTGCTTGCAGGCGACTATCGGATCCGGCTCACCGAAGCAGTAGGAGCGGTAGTCCGGGCAGCAGTCGCTCGCATCGACGCGATCGCAGAACTCATCGCAATAGCAGATGGTGTCTGGAAAAGGAGCACAAAATAAGCTCACAAATTCAACATTTATTTTTATTCCTAATTCTAACTCCTTATAATATTAGGAGAATTAGTAAAGTAAAACATTTTTAGTGGGTAAACAACGAAATAATAATTTTAGTTAATTTCACCATAGATCACCAAACGAATGGCTCATTTGTACAGGTCTCTCTCTTTTTTATCAAGTTATTATTTTTGCTTTTTCTATTTCCAAATAAATCAAATATTTAATCAAATTGTTTGCGCGCTGACTTAGCAACTAGAATACAGAGAAATCAAGCGAATGTTTAAAGAGCAATAACAAACAGGGTCGGAACATTCTAAAAATTAGAATTTTACCTTTTTAAATAGCTTTGTTCTACTTTATACGTTTTGCTTCACTTTTTTAAATGTATTACCTTTTTAACTTTTTGGTTTTACTTTTTTACTGTAAGCAATTAGTTACCTTTGATAGGCCGCGAGCAGCCGTCGTGGCGATCAGCACAGCAGGTGTTGCGCAGTGCGCAGTAAGGACCTTTGAATTCCTCTCGCAGGGTGGGGTCAATAACGCCGGCCACGCCCATCAGCAGGGCCAATAGGCCCACCAGCTGGGCACACTTGATGGTCATGACTCCTCCAACGACTTCTAATCTGCAACTAGTGCGTCGAAAGCCAGGAATTTTTAATTTTGCATATTATCTTATCGCTTAAATCTACAGCAAGATTAAAGATCTGCAATTTGTCAACAATTAACCAGTCAGACACACAAAAATTCACACATTTCGCGCATACTTTCGTCGAGAAATTAGGCAAATGTGGTACGAAATAAGAAAACCCGTTCGGTCTAGGTGAGATAATTCATTTGTACAGTTTAACTTCCATAACTCGAACAATTTTCTATAATTCGAACAATACATGTAAAGATTCTACTCTCATCCTCCTAATACCAAAGGGAATTTTTTGGAATAGATGATATAAAAGTTATCAATCATATGATCAAATACATCAAGTGTCGTATGAGTAATTTTTACGGAAATAAATCTATTGCACACTAAAATCTAACGTACAAAAGGTTTGAGAAATGTTTTAATTTTTTTGACCACTCTAAAGAACATTATTTAAAATTTCAGATAAATTAAATAAAATGTTTGCCCCTCGTGCGTTTTTACCTGCACAAGTCGAGTTTTTCCAAGAAAAAATGTTATTCGCGCGCCAAAAATATACACTGTAGAAATGTATATATGTTAAGAATGCTTTGTTATGAATAAATTGGTTCAATATTTCTACATTTTTTTTTTTTTATTAATATTTGAAACGACTTCATTATGAACATTATCTAATGCTGATGTTTTATGTCCTACGGTAGAAAAAAATTTACGTACTTTTTTATGAATAAAAAAAATCTTTATACTTTTGTTCGAATTGATTAACTTTTGGTATGTGTGGTTAAAAAACGATCTGTTCTAAGAATTCATGCTGAAGATTATTCTATGTTATTTCGAGTGTAATGCCTGTGTATAAATACATTAAAAATTATATTATTTTTTGTCTAACTCGATGAGTCTGACACTAGAATTTTTATGTTGGCATATAAAAGTTTAAGTTTTGACTGTATAACTTTCGGATACAAGCAGTTCCTCATTAGAAATTCGCTGGTTGTGCTCAGAAAAACAGTTAACAGTTAGCTCCCCTATATATATTCTGATGACGCCAGCTGGTTTGTCGATCCCAAACCCTGTCCGCGGCCTAAACAAAAACGATTACGTTCTTCACTTGGTCCGGTCCGTTTTGGCTTCTTTGATTCGACACCGAATTCATTTATGAGCATAGCTCACCGATTTAAAAATCCGTAGAATCACTCTCGAAATTGCCCCTTTATTTCATGTTTTTTTGGCGCTCTATTATATTATAATTCTAGAGACGGAGACGATGTTGAAACTTGTTTGTTTTTAAGAACGCGACACGAAGATTCATAAATAAATGCAAATTGCAAATAGTTATTCCTGTTCTGCCTGCTGGCCAAAGCAGAACCGACATCATTTTCGTCGAGTGTGCCCCAAGACGTATTCAATTAATAGATTTCGCACATACATATGTAGATTTAGTTATCTTCTGAATAACGAGGGAGAATGTTTGAGCACCTTCGAGAATTTTGTTTGGCCACATCCCTACCCCAAGACTTATTATTCGATTTTTTTGCTGATTGCTTGCTAATGCTGAACCCGTTTTTAATTTAGTGATAATTAATTTGAAAGATTGACTTGATAATTAATTGCCAATTCAATTGGCAACAAAGTTTTGGCATGAAGAAAAGAAGCATAACAGAATGAAATTTAATTGTAGTTGGATTCGTGACGAAGGTCTATATATAGAAGCTCAATAAACAATGAAGGCTATAAACTTCGTCTCAGTCCCAGACTTCTCAATATTGTTGACACTTTGAAACGGTCTAACACAAACACCACTGTTTATTCCTGAAGGGGCACAAGATATTCCGAATTCCAGGCATTAAATTGAAAACATAAAGCGAAAAATCTGGTCTTTGCTGACACAGCAGACTGGTAAATAAAACTTCAGAACCTTTTATTTGCAAGCAGGCGTACGCAATACTAACATTTTGATAACTTTGCACAATTCGAGTCAAATGCCAGCACTTTATGGCCAATAATTGGAGGCGTTTGTTTTCTGTTTCTGTTTTCGTATATTGTATACTCGATTTCCTTATCGCGCGGTTCTTACTCCGATCGCGGCTCGTTGCTGACTGAATTCGCTTAGAATGATGGGCCACTACATAAGGTTGTTGTTGCTGCTTCTGTTATTGCTGCTGCTGCTGACAGTGCTGCGCTGCTGCTTGATCTTGCCTACTTCAGCTGTAGCTAAAGCTTATAGGCCACAGCGTAGGTGGTGGTCGGTGGTGAGAGCGAGAGAGCGGTCCTGCTGTTACTGCCACTGTGGCGTATACTTAACATTTCTCTGCTAGTTTAAAATCATGCTACTGGTGGTATATTGGGGCCCATTTGGAACCATTTGCTCCCCAATATAGCAAAAATTTATACTTATTCCGCAATATACCCAAATGGTCCCAAATGGGCCCCAATAGTACTTGTCTGCTTTTAAACCAGCAGAGAAATGTTAAGAAATGTTAAGTGGTCGGTGGTGCGAGCGAGAGAGCGGTCCTGCTGTTACTGTGGCGTATACTTAACATTTTTCTGCTGGCATATTGCGGCCACAAATGTTAGCTCAATTTCGGCACTCGGCGGCGTAATGAAAGTAGAGACAGTCACTGTTGCGAATCGTTTGGTATGCAGTCCACCTGTATAAGGGCAAAGATCATTAAGAACCACTTTCCTGTGCAAATTCCTCGGCGAATTTTTGTGCGCAATTAATTTTAGTTCTCAGGTTTGTTTTTGTTGGCTCTTGTCTTTGCCAAAAACTGATAAGATATGCGATAATTGAAACCAATTTGAGTTCAAGGTCTTCACACAATAATAGAATAAAATTAAATGTTTTCCTTTTTTTGGTATCAGAGTGAACATCTATTATTTCAAGCAATCTGTTGAGATTCCCGAGTATCTAGTATTGAATGAATATATTATTTGTTAGTTTTTTAAATGATGCGCTCATCGCCAATCTGTCTGGCATTTCACTTAACTTCGATCTGGATCTTCTGCTCTTTCCATACGGGTAATTATCATTAAGAACATTTGCAATTGCACACATATATAGACCGCATCATCTCAGTTAACTGGGCATTGTCATCGTATGCGGTATGATCCAATTTTGCATTACGCCAAAACCAAATAAACCGTTTATTTACTTATTATTTTATTTGCGTACGATGAGTGAACCAGCGAATGAAATTCCAAGCAATATCCGGAAGTAGCTCTCAAAATGATTCACGATAAGGCATTTCCCTTTTATTTATTTATTGAAGTATGAATCGATAGATTAAATCACAAAACACTTCCCGAAAAACTAGGCAAATACCAAATGTTGATTGAGCTATGCGAAAGAAATTTTAAGGCAATAGCCGGAAGTAATAATGTTTCACGATTTCCTTTTATTATTTATTGAAATATGAATCGATAGTGTAAATCACAAATTACTCACCGAAAAACATGGCAGAAATGAAATGATAAGTGAACTAGCGAATATAATTCCCGGCAATAGTCGGCAGTAAGTTTCAATATTTTTCACGATTAAGCTTCTTTAAAACAAGGCGAAAGCATTAGGAAAGCTAAACAAAAAGAAACCCGAACGGGGAACAAATCAGACCGCGATGTGTGAAATAAAGCCATCAGACGACATTAAGTCGCTCTGTCGCCCGACGCGATTTGCATGACATTAAACTTCGGTTTTATGAGCGATTTCTGTCCGCTGCGGGCCAAATTACGACCTGAGCCCGAAAGCAAACAAAAGCCCGCCAAGAAATTGGTTGAGCCCCAGCGAATGTGTCGCCTAATGGTCTAAAATGAGCTGTGTGAGTCGACTTGTACATTCACCAATAATCTTGCCAGGTCTTGGATAAGATTAGACCAGAAAATAATGCCTTGGGATGCAAAATTAGATAGATAAGACCGATTGCAGTAGGTACTATAAATAAGCCTGATTGCAAGTGCAATGCTTATCCCTGACATTGAAATGGCACGAACAATCCCTGAATATTTTTATCTTCTGTTTTTGACAGCACGACAACTGTTGTGACTACAGTGATCCATCGCATATGGTATGCAATTATGGCGAACTATCCACGTGAGAAACCGATGACAATCTGTCAGGTAAATGAAGTCATTAAAGTGTCGTCGGGTGAATGAAACACGTCCGACTGACTTATGCCTTATCATCGCAAATGCCTGACTTAAACTGGGCAATCAATTAGCTGGTATTTATACATAATTATGCCATTATTTAATTGGCCCCCTGATTAGCATTATTTGTGTGGCTATGCGGGCCAATAGGCACTTTATTGATATTCTGGCAGTAGGCACTCGACGCGTTTATATTGACTGACATTCCAAAGCACTGAAATCACATTATCGAATGGAATGGAATGGACACGGGTACCTGAAGTCTACGCAGGCGGAAGAGGTGTTTTCGATACCCGAAACTAGTCCAAGAACGCGCCAATCCAATGCCAATCCCACTTGACATGTAACTGCCTTATCGCGGATGTTATCGGAACGATTTACATTGTTCAATTTGGGGACAAATTCATACTATTTCGTCATGGCGCCAACTGATAAGTTGATGGCGCAGACAACATAAAAGTTGTGGTAGAAGTCATCAATAGGAAGATTCCCCATGAACGCATGTTTATTGTCTAAGAAGTTGCGAACGGAATTTTAATAAGCTCACCCTGTCAAACCCATTTTGCCTTTGTAAATGTTTGTTTGAAGAAATTTCTTTCGGCCCATTTCAGTTGGAGCTATTTTCAGGAATTAATAACTGTGGTTAATCGTTTCCGAGTCGAATGAATTGCAGTGCAAATATACCAAAGAATGCATAAACATTTTCCAGAATTCATTGAGAGTTGCCAAGGCATTTTCATCCATCCATAATCAATTTACTGATCATTAAAAAGTGTATTTATTTGCTCAATTCTTTAATGGTCTGTCTTTGTTTATGTGCAATTGCGAATGGGAATTTTGAACTTGTTG